GGGCAATATGCTGACTCTCTGTAAACCGCTTAGAGAGGCCTGAAAGGCCTATGAAGCGGTATATAAGTCTACTGCTATTGCTATATTGCTATGAATCAAGGAGAGAAGCAACTTAGAACTAAGGAGAAATTTCCCAACAGTGAGAACAATTAATCAGTGGAACAGAATTTGCCTCCAGAAGTTGTGAATGCTGCAACACTGGAAGTTTTTAAGAAGATATTAGATATCCACTTCTCTGAAGTGGTGTAGGGTTTGCTGCCTGAGCAGGGGGTTGGACTAGAAGACCTCCAAGGTCTCTTCCAACTCTGTTATTCTATTCTATTCTATTCTACACTGCTCTACTCTACTCTATTCCTTATTCTGTTCTGTTCTACTCTATTCTATTCAACGGGGGGGGGGAATCCTCTCGAATCTTACCACCTGCTCCCAAGGAGGACGGTTTTCTCCTCACCGCTTGACGTTCAGAGGTAGACTGCCTCTGACCATGGGTGCCCGTTGCATTTAGCAACCCCTCACCAGACAGATCCAATTCTAAGGCCCTATTTAAACTTTGTCTACCTTTAATGTAAAGTTCGTTCTTAGTTAAACCCATAAGTCGCCTTGGAAAGTTGGAATAAAGGAACGGAAATAAAATAATAGGAGTCTTCCTTTGAGGGCCTCCAGCTGCTCCGTGAAAACTTTCCTTTTTAGGAAGGATTGGAACTTTCAGAGGCACGGTTGAATCCCTCGAGTTCTTTTTGATTGATTGATTTTTCTCCCCCTCCTGCTTCCATCTCCCCCTCCGCTTCATGATGGACTTATCCATGGTTCCTTTTCTGCAATTACTAAGGGGATAATTTCCCTCCTGGATGAGTACATTGGGGAAGACTGTCTTCCCAGCCAGGTTTAGACCCTGGCATGCTGGCTAATGATTTCTCTAGGCTTGACTGCTGCTAGTTTGTCTTAGCTTCCTTTCACTGTGGCTTCCATAGAGTTGTGGGGAAACGGATGACTGGGCTAGGCAAAAGCAAGTTGCAAGTCAAGGAAACGAGTGGGGGGGGGGGGGGGCTGAAGGAAAAATAGTTCAGGTAAAACTAAAGGGAGCCCTAGACATTGGATGCAAAGAAGCACTGCTGTCTGCTCTGGGTGTTGTTGTTGTTGTTGTTGTTGTTGTTGTTGTTGTTGTTGTTGTTTGGCCAGCTTAGTTTTTAGGAGGGGCTGCCAGAAAGAGGTGGCAAAGTTACTTCTCCCTTTTGCGCTCTTACACAAACCTTGAGGGCTTGTAATGTTATAAGTCTCCCTCCCACCCCTTCACCTCTCCCATCCTGAGTTAATCCCACTTCTTCTAAAACTCCATCGCTTCCATTCTCAACCTGCCTTTTTCTTCCAAACCTCCATCCCTTCCATTCTCAAACTGCCTTTTCGGATGGTTTGGATTCCCTCTCCCCATCAAACCCAAGAAGTATGGAGTTTGCAGTCCAGAGGACTGGCATTGCAGCCTGGTCTATGTGGGCTGGGACCAGTGGAATTCCCCCTTACCCAGAGAGTTGCCCCTGTGGATGTGCCAATAGTATAGGGACAGAGATAGGGATAGGGATAAGGATGGAATAGGGATGAAGATAGAATAGAATAGAATGTAGTATAGACAGAATAGAATAGAATAGAGGGCAGAAGAGAAGAGAGAATAAAATAAACAATAGAAGAGAGAAGAGAAAATAGAAGGGAAAATAGAATAGAGAAGAGATGAGAAGAGAATAAAATAGAAAATAGAAGAGAGAATAAAATAGAAAATAGAAGAGAAAATAGAAGAGAGAATAAAAGAAAATGGAGAATAGGATACGAATAGGATAAGGGTAGAATTAGAATGGAGTGGAGTGGAATAGAATAGAATAGAATAGAATAGTATAGCTTTATTGGCCATCTTCCCCAGCAGTTGGCAAAAGGAGAGAGTCATAGACATTATAATTTCCCCTCTCCCTCCGCCTCCTTTAGTTTCTGGATCATGACGAGATCTCTCCAAAAGTTATGACAAGATTGTTTGGATTGATCAGAGCCATTTCCCTTGTCCCCCATTTCCAACCCGACAGATTATCATTGGGGGGGGGGGGGAGCCTACAAGCAAGGTATGATGGGAGGTCCTGCCAATGTCAGATAACCCACCTTTGATAACAGAAGCTTCCTTTCCCAGCCTCGGAGCTAACCGTTCACCCTACAATCCCAGCTGAAGCCAGAGGAATCCTCCCCCTATCGCCAGAGTGAATGTCATCAAACCAGCCGTCCCAATGTCATCCCAAAACCATGGCTCCATTTGGCTGGTGTGGCTATCTTTTTTAGGAGGATTAGAAAAGTCTTGGGAATCCCAACCCCTTGTCTCATCAAATTGGGGGAGGGGTGCAATTTGGGAAAAGCGAATCCACCCCAATTTGCTTGGATTCCCAAACTCCCTTACCTTGGCGTGTCCATTCAATTCTTCGCTGTTGGACAGAGTGGTGTTGGGAAGGGCCCCTGTGTATTGGTTCGGATCCTTGGGTTTCTTCCGTGGCTCTCTCTTGGCCGCCGTCACCCGTGGGAAACTTGGGGATTCCTGGCAGATCAGCATCGCCAGCACCAACCAGCCCCAGTAACGTCGCCTCTCTTTGGGGGACATCATCATCATCTCCAAGCCAGAGGAGAAGCGACCGTCTTTCAAGACGGAAATCAGAAATGGGTCAGACTTGGGAATGCTGCGTTGGTCTCTTCTTCCGTAAACTGGCTCGGCTCCTAATCACCCCGAGAGAATCCCATTCGCAAGCAACACAGAATCATCGCCAGCCGTTTTTCTGTCTTCAGATAGATGGCCTGCTTAAACCACCGGCCCACGTTGAAGAGTCACTCCCCTCTGCCAGCAGCCTTCTCAAAACAAAAAAAAAACTTGAGCTCTTCCCTGCCAACCTCAAACCGGCATCCCCCGTGTCATTCCTCGTCTTCTTCCCCTTTTTGGCCAAAAAAAAAAAAATGTCCGAAGTGTCAAAAGTTGCAAGAACCCCTTCGAAACAGGGGCAGACCCAAAGGTGAAGAATCAGGTGCAGGAGGTGGGGAAGGGGGAATCTGGACTCCTGTTCGTCTCTTTGACGTCACGCCTGCAGATGTCCAAAGCCGTCTGCTCAAATCTACCCATATATCAGAAATTTGGCAGAGTTGCTTGCTTTAAAAAAAGAAAAATAGCATTTCTGCATGGGCCAGGTCCCTGATCTTAAAACTCCACAATTTCCCACTTATCAAAGAAAAGAAAAAAGAGCAAGGAAAAAAACCCTCAAATCCTTCCTGAATTTTTCTGCCCCCTAAGAAACAACCTGACAACCATCGCTTTCTCCTTCCACCAACTTTTCTCCTGAATCTTCTCTCTCTCCCTGTCCTCCCCACCACCACCAAGAGGAATGTCCCACTGCCCCTGTCTCTTAAGCGGAGCCTTTGGCAAGGCAGGTTCTCCAAATCTCCACAGCTCCTTGTGTCTTTGCCTGCCAGCTGCAGGCTGGCAGAAACCTCCCTGGAGTAATACCTCCCCGTGAATAAATACAATTTTTCTGCGGGAGAGTTTTGCATCAACTTGAAAGGAAGGGGAGTGAAAAAGAGGAGAAGGAGAGGAGGGGGGAGGAAGGGAGGGTAATTTGTATGGAGAGGGAGGAACCACATTCTAAAGAGCTGTCGAGGCTGGTCTCTTCGCATTCCTATTAAGGGGAGACTGTCGGGAGAAGCAGGCTCTTTCCCCTCCTGTGCCAAAGACGTTTAAATCAGAAATAAACTTCTTTCCCCTGACTGTGTCTTGTTTAGCCTTTTGCAGATCTTTTCCATCTCGCAAAATCGTCTCTATTTAGCCGAGGCAGATATATATATATATATATTACGTGCCTGTTGGACTTACAAACCATGGCTTCTTGCTTTTACAGGTGCTCCTGTTGCATTTACAGGATCATAAAATGCAATGCCGCCTCCGGTTTTCATCCTCGGAGAGGACCCCACCAGCAAAAGGTAGGCTAAGCTGGCGAACAGCCCCACAGCGGGTTTCCCAGCCAAGAAAGTACTTGAACCTGGAAGTCTGCAATCTTAGCCTTTTGCCCTAAGCCCTGATTCACACCAGCAATCCAGTGCTGTTGTCCTTCATCTTACAGCATGTAGGTAATAATATTGAAGGCTTCCAGGCTAAGAGCCAACAATTTATTTCTTGGGGAAGTTAGTCAACGATTGGAAAGCCCCACTATCAAGGCAAGCTAGGCTGGCAAAAAGCCCCACAGCGGGTTTCCCAGCCAAGGAAACACTTAAACCTAGATGACTGCAATCTTAGCCTTTTGCCCTAAGCCCTGATTCACACCAGCAATCCAGTGCTGTTGTCCTTCATCTTACAGCTTGGATGTCTGCAATCTTAGTGTCACGTTCCGGCGTTCACATTGAATACAAACAGAGAGTCAGTTTGTTTGGTGAAAAACTTTATCTCTATCTAATATTACGTGATAACCAGCACTAAATGACAATGATACAAAGGTAAGCAAATCCAAGTCAGTTCTAACCAAGTTAACATCATCACTCATGTATATACCATTACCCCACCCAGCTCCACCCACAACTCCACCCAGATGACACCCACCCACCATCATCAATCCCCATGACCCACACCCTCAGCCACACCCCCACTCAGTGTCATCATAGCCTTCTTCCTGGTCACCCGCATCCGAGCA